TTCTCACCTCCCACATTGCACGCCATAGCCCTCTCCTCTTCTGGGAGCATCTAATTACTGTCTGTGCTGGCCCAGCTCCTCCATCCCTCCTCTCACCTCCCTCCTTGCATGCCATAGCCCTCTCCTCTTCTGGGAGCATCTAGTTACTCTCTGCGCTGGCCCAGCTCCTCCACCCCTCTTCTCACCTCCCACATTGCACGCCAACGCCCTCTCCTCTTCTGGGAGCATCTAATTACTGTCTATGCTGGCCCAGCTCCTCCACCCCTCCTCTCACCTCCCTCTTCGCACGCCAAAGCCCTCTCCTCTTCTGGGAGCATCTAGTTACTCTCTGCGCTGGCCCAGCTCCTCCACCCCTCTTCTCACCTCCCACATTGCACGCCAACGCCCTCTCCTCTTCTGGGAGCATCTAATTACTGTCTATGCTGGCCCAGCTCCTCCACCCCTCCTCTCACCTCCCTCTTCACACGCCAACGCCCTCTCCTCTTCTGGGAGCATCTAATTACTGTCTGTGCTGGCCCAGCTCCTCCATCCCTCCTCTCACCTCCCTCCTTGCACGCCATAGCCCTCTCCTCTTCTGGGAGCATCTAATTACTATCTGTGCTGGCCCAGCTCCTCCATCCCTCCTCTCACCTCCCTCCTCACATGCCACAGCCCTCTCCTCTTCTGGGAGCATCTAACTACCGTCTGTGCTGGCCCAGCTCCTCCACCCCTTCTCTCACCTCTCTCCTTGCACGCCATGTTGCAGCACACGATGTAAAAGGGGCGTCAGCGTGCAAACGAGGTGAAAGGTTAATCCCGGCGATCGGCGGTGTTCAGCAGGATGCCATCTGTCTCATTGCTCGGGTCACATGGAGCTCATGTTGTGTCTGGAGATAATCCGGCTGGGAGACCTTGGAGAGCGGCCATGTCCTTGTGTTCTGCCGTCACCGGGGATTATGGGAACATCTGCTCACCGCGCAGAGAGCCGAGCGCCGCTGGAAACCGCCATCCCCTGGGGCCCTTCAATACACAGGGGCCCAGTGCAGACCTGGGCGCCCCGGTGCATTCACATGTGTTTTCTTAAGGAAGTCGAATTCAAATAAATAAAAACTGGCACTGCGCCAAAATGTCCAAAATAAGGGACATGCGGCGTTTTGGGGCAATGCAGCAAACGCACCACAACGCACTGGGGAGGGCCTTCAAAATGAACTGCGACGCACCGGAGAGGTGTGCACGGGCCCTCAGTCATTCCTAGCTCAGCAGTCATTGGCCGGGGATGCTAATCAGATTCCCTGATATAAAGGTGACCACTAGGGGGAGCTCATGTAACAGGAACATAGATTATATACACAGTATGGAGGAGCAAGCATGGGGAAAAAGTTCACGTCACAAATAACTTCAGGCGTGTTCCAGGATCACATACAGGTGTGTTCTATCACCCCCAGCAGGTGTGTTCCAGGATCACATACAGGTGTGTTCTAGCATCCTCAGCAGGTGTGTTCCAGGATCACATACAGGTGTGTTCTAGCATCCTCAGCAGGTGTGTTCCAGGATCACATACAGGTGTGTTTTATCACCCCCAGCAGGTGTGTTCCAGGATCACATACAGGTGGGTTTTATCACCCCCAGCAGGTGTGTTCCAGGATCACATACAGGTGGGTTCTATCACCCCCAGCAGGTGTGTTCCAGGATCACATACAGGTGGGTTCTATCACCCCCAGCAGGTGTGTTCCAGGATCACATACAGGTGGGTTCTATCATCACCAGCAGGTGTGTTCCAGGATCACATACAGGTGTGTTCTATCATCACCAGCAGGTGTGTTCCAGGATCACATACAGGTGGGTTCTATTATCACCAGCAGGTGTGTTCCTGGATCACATACAGGTGTGTTCCTGGATCACATACATGTGTGTTCCTGGATCACATACAGGTGTGTTCCTGGATCACATACAGGTGTGTTCCATCCTCACCAGCAGGTGTGTTCCTGGATCACATACAGGGGTGTTCCATCCTCACCAGCAGGCCTGTTCCTGGATCACATACAGGTGTGTTCCATCCTCACCAGCAGGTATTTTCTACCAACACCATCAGGATTACTAACAAGTGCATGCTATGAAGTGTGGACAATGTCAAGAAGTCAAGAAACACTTGAATCTTCTGACCACCATCGGGTTGAGCTTACCTCAGCAGTCATTAGCCAGGGATGCTAATCAAATTCAAAATGACCACTAGAGGGAGGGTATGTAAAGGAAAATAGTATAACAGGTGTGTTCTATCATCACCAGGTGTGTTCCTAGGTCACGTATAGATGTGTTCCAGAATCACTGACAGGTATTTTCTATCATTTCCAGCAGGTGTGTTCCGGGATTACTAGGAAGTGTGTGACAGGTTCACTAAGAAGTACATTCCGGGATCAACACCAAGTGTGTGCTATGAAGTTTGGACGCCCGCGTAGCTGGCTGCATATCTGCACTATGAGATCTAAAGGTGCCCATACACCTTACGACCATCGCAAGACTTTTGTCTTGCAATGGTCATATGCTTATTGAAAGCTCGTACGATCTGCCCACTTTGGACGGGCAGATCGTACTTGCGATCATCGAAAGCCCGCCCCGCTGAGGGGCAGGCTTCCGATGACCGCAATGCAGAACGGGCAGTGTGCGCGTGCGCACACCGGCCCGTTCCGCAGCTATCAGACGAGCAGGCTAGAAACCCGCCGACAATCGTACGATTCTCGGCGGGTTTTCGAGCATGTTGGTTCGACAAAAGACGTGCGACCGTACAGTAGAAACGGTCGCACGTCTTCGTTCACACTGCTCGATTCTCGTACGATCGCGGGATTTCGCCCGATTCTCGTACGAGAATCGAGCAGTGTATGGGCACCTTAAGGCTCTGCTGCCTCTGACTCTCTGCTAGTCCCAGGACTTTATTTCCTTTAAGATTTCAAAATGAAAGAGAGAAGCTGATTGGTTGCTATGGGCAGCTGCTCCGGATTCTGTCTGCTCCAGTTTTGATAAATCCCCCTCAATGTCATCTCCCTTTCACTGGGCGCAATGCCGCGAGCCAGAACAATAACCCAGCGTTCAGTGAGATGGAATTGGTTTCCAGTAAACAATGCAAGTGTGCTAAAGTCAAAGTTCACTCAGTGTATGTTAATCTGAGCCGAGTGTAATCCCGGGCGGGATCAGCGCACGCAGGTCTATACGGGGTCAGCACGAGGACACGAGGATAGTAACGTCTGCACACAGTGCTGTGTAGCCCGCGGCCCCTTCTCTGCTTCCTGACCCACCAATCACTTTGACACAACCAGCACGGGCTGGTTGTGTCAAAGTTCTTAGGACTGTCAGTGTTACAGCAATCGTTCTGTATGTGAGGGGCAGCATGGAGGGTGTTCCAGCATTACCAGCATATGTGATCCAGAGTCAATAACAGGTGTGTAAGTGATCCAAAGGATTCCATGTGCTGCTTCCTCCTCTCACACTCGGAGCTCTGCTGTACAGGAAGCAGATAGCGGGTCCCATTCAGTTACTTACACGGCTCATGTTTATAAAATACAATTGATGGTCACAGAGCTGCATTCATATGTGTCTTTTATATCTGCCCCGAGCTCAGCTTTATATAATATAAGCAGGGGCGTCCCGAGGCTGGGTGTCACCCGGGGCGGAGACCGGCTGACACCCC